CACGGACCTCTAGTTCTACATGATGGTTAAAAAAAAAAAACAAAACATATCTCATAGTCATTCCCTATTTGTGTGCGACACTTTACCGAGTGGGCTGGCTTCTCCGGGTGCTGCTTGCTTCACTTGGGTTCCTACATTTAATTTAAGAACAGAGAGGAGTGTCTGCTGAGGTGGGTATAGCTGTAGAGAAGAGCTAAAAGTGAGTCTTCAGACTATTCAGTCAATAGATGAACACCTTGGAACTTCGACTAGATGCTTAACTTGCCTGAACTAATTGATATTGAAAGTCAAATGGCCCTTGATGTCTCTTCAAAGATAACCGGGTGGTGGAAATAGAGCTCAGTATTGGGGACAGCAGCGGGGACAGCAAGCGGCAGCGCCCAAAGGCATCTCTGGGACACACAGGTCATCTTCAGGTTTGTGGGCAGGATAGTTTTGTTCATTTTTTGGCCACTAAAAGGGAGCTTTAATAAAAACTATGAACTCGGGTAAAAAAATCCGAATGTCTATTAGCTATATGTGCGTATGTGTTGTAGGAGTGACCCCGTTGTACTGACTGCAAATACATCAGTAAAGCTGATGACAGCACTGTGTTCATGTATGTGGTCAGTACATCTTTGAAAAGTTACAACTGTAAGCGATTTTTTTTTTATCATCACACCCCTTTTTGGTTAAGCTTTGCAGTACTGAACATCTGTGACATCAGACATCTGCAGAAGGCATTTTTTGCATCATTTGCAATACAAGAAATGCATTTTCAGCAGTTTTCTACTGCAAGCGTTAAAGTGCTGTTATAATTAAAGCAGTAGAAAAAGCTTGAGAGACAGACGTCGTCAGCTCTGAGTTATGTTAACTTGAAAACATCATTCTCTCTAAGTCTTATGAATAGAAAATACTTTTAGAAGACAGTTACGTTTGCTAAGCAAGGGCAGCAGCTGCTCCTGGATACATCATAAGAAGTTTTATTACTGTATGTAGAAGACACTTGAATTACTGACTACTTAACCTTTATGCCAGTGCATGCTTGAAAATCTGCCTGACTTGCACAGCTGGGCTTGGCAAATACTCATTTCTTGTGGTTTTTCTTTTTCATGAAAACATAAAAGAATTTGTCACAGTATGTGGAATAGTGATGCTGGTGATTCCTTCCAGATATCTGCAATTGGTTGATAGATGTACATGGGCTTGGGCAAAGAAATTTTGGGGGCAAATTTTGGGGCAAAATCACCGCCACAGGGTGGTGATTCTTGGAGGCTGGACATCTAAAAGCTCCGGATGGTCCCCAGAGCTTTGCCCTGTGCTGCAAAGGGGTCCCAGCGTCAAGGGTGCAGAGCTGACAAACCACAGCCACTGAAGTGCCCTGTCTGTGGGCTCTGCAGGTCATGTTTTATGAAAATATGGGAAGATTGGGGCTCAGACCCCTGCCAAAGCCCCGTATCATGAGCAGACTCCTCGGCCAGTTCAAGTTAACCTCTGAAATGCCCGTAAGTGCTGCAGTGGGTACCATCACTTTCACAGGTATCGGGGTGCTGGCTTGAATATACTGCCTGTAGGTTAGCTGGCCTAATGACCAAAGCATGCTAAACAAACTCGAGATAGCTATTTTGAAATATTTTTAGGGGCTGATGCTGAACAGGCCGGGTCCGACAGAGGCCATGTTTCTTGGGCTGCTTAGGGTGCAGTAAAGGGTGTGGAAAAAAGGGTCCTTATCCCCTGTTGCGGCATGGGGTCTTGTTATTTTACTGAGAAACTTACTTTTCACCTCCTGCAGTGCTGGCTGGGGATGTCATTTGGTAGCACTTGTGCAACAAAAGTGTTAGGCTGAACTTCTCCTGCGTTACTGGTGTCAGAGGAGCAAGACTTTGACGCCCGTTACTTGCACAGGTCGTCCTTGAAAGGTAACCGGTTCCCTCTGAACATTCACCTGCAAATGTTCAGATTTTACCTCTTCCACCTTGAAGTTTTGGGCAGAGCAATGCCAACACTTGGCTGCTGGCTGCCCAAGAGGTGATGCTGATGGCCAGGCCGTGCTCGCCCCATCTCCACGCAGGATAAAAAAAAAGACACTTCAGCTCATTTTACCTTCTGCACAGACTGTGGTTACAACACGTGTCTTCAGCCATCTGGCTACACCAGCCATTCGGGCAGGCTCTTCGCTCACATGTTGTCTGTCAAATCACAGCAAAATCGGGCGGCAGCAGCATGCAGGGGGTGTGGAAGGGCTGACAGCCCGTCCGTGGGTGCAGTGCCCCACACCAGAGGGGTCTGGGACATTTGTGCACACTGAGAAGGTTAAAAAGGGAAAACAAATTTGCTGTCGGGATGTAAACCTGAACCAGTGAGCATTGCAGTTGAAAATAAAACCATGAAATACCACTATCATGACCTGTCTAGAAAGAGGGTAATGCTGATACTGAATAGTTTTCTACTATTTTGGAGGCTGAAGGTGTAAATCCCGTGTAAGCGAAGCCTTCAGAAGTGCAGTGAAAAGCGATCTCAGCGTCATTGAATGGGATTGTGAGCTATCAGTGGCCAAAGCAAGAGGTTTCTTCTTGGTTTGTCAAAGCCCTCCCACAGTAATCTGCCAACAGCAGGTCGTGCCATACCGCTGCAGGCATCTTCAGCTTCACTGCTTAATAAAACCCAGCCCTCTCTTTCCCCCTCTTGCCATGGTATGCAAAAAAAGGAGTGCAAATTAGTGGGCCTCCCAGCAGTCCAGCACTAGGAAAACATATTCTAAACAACAAGAAATCATGAGGGAAAAAGGTGATGAGGATGGATCTGCCCTCAATTACATGCCAGTTAGATACTTACAACCAGAGCTGTGTCAGGACTGAATTCCCCGAGAAGCAATCGCAGCATTTAGAGGATTTGCATGTTTCATAAAGAAAAAGTAATGACACAAGTTCAAAAGCAGCCTAAGAGAGGAAATGTTTCCACTAACTATTCTAAACCAGACGCTGCACCCTCAGAACAAAGGTGCAGCAAAGCTCAACCACCTTGTCTGCTGAATTAG